CCCCTGTGTGAGGGTCATGGTTACTGCCACACAGCGCCACACAGGGGCCTCACACCACAGGCTTCTCCCACAGTCTGAGCTGAAATACTGGGTGGACAGGCATGGTCCCATGAAGGCTCGGGGGAGGATCTGCCTGCTCCCGGCTCCCAGCAGCTCCAGGCATCGCTTGGTCTCCGGCCAGGGCAAGCTGGACGATCCTTCCCACACAGTCCTGAGCCTGGACCTACACAGTGGCTGAGCTGAGCACAGAGGCCTCCCCTTGGCCCCAGCCCTCTCCTGGCTCAGGTCAGGGGCGGTGTCCATTGACCATAACTCCCAGTTCAGTCCAGGCTTGGCGGTGCCCACACTCCTGTGGTCAGTCCTGTCAGGATCGCTGGTGAGGCGGTGGCCAGCAGCCCAGACAGGAAGAAGAGGCAAAACCTCAATGCCCTGACCTTGACGGGGGACCGGCTGCTCCAGGCATGGGTACAGCAGCGGGGACAGTGAGTGCTTGGGGCCTGCCTCGGGGACTGGCCGTGCAGGGCTTTGTTTCCTGGTATTCAGGCAGCAGTGGGCAAGGCGTGGGGGGCCATGACCCTGGAGTCAGGCACAGCAGCATGTGGGGGCCAGACCCTCCCAGACCCGCAATTAGAGAAAGCATCCAGCACACCATGGCCGTCTCCCCAGCCACCACGACTCCGCTGCCTGGCCTGGCCACATGAAAACATTGTAGCTCCTGAGGAGGAGTCCAGGAGGCCGAAGGCTGAGGGCAGGGCCCATGGCTGACTTGCAGGGAGCAGCTCTGGAGTCAAACCTGCCTGCTTAGGAAGCGCTCTCTGCCTGCCTTGATCCCCTGGGGGCTGAGGGGAAGCTGCCTCACCACCTGCATCCGGAGGCTCCTGAGGGGGGTATGAGCTGGATAGGCCAGAGGGAGATGGGCAAAGCCCCAGTCCTGCCCACTGTGTCTCAATCCAGCACAACAGGGATGGGCATCCCCTTGTGCCAGGTGCCACCTGAGCAGGATGAGAGGCAGGCTGGGCATCTTCCCAGGCTCCAGAGCAGGCCCCTCAGCCATGCCATGTTCCTGTGGCTGACACTGTCCAGGCTTTGCCCCCTGCAGCCAGGGGACCTGGCACACCTGCTAGTGATGGGCATCCCCTCCTCTCGCCTTGCTTCTCTCGCTCCCTGTGAACAACTCCTGGTGCTGGTGCTGGGCATGTGGTACCCCACGCTCTGGGACCCAAGGGTGGCCTAGGGAGGCCCCTTCAGCACCAATAGCCACTGGACTCTCTCCTGCCTACCCACCCAGAGCCTCGCTCCCTGGCCAGGGCTTCCCAAAATAGGGGGCCACATGCTGACCCAATCAGCTTGCAGGACCCCATTCTCAGCAGGAGACAGGCCTGGTGTTAAGTAGCCCCAGTGGCCCTGCCAGAGTCTCTGCCTTTGGAGTCAACTCACCCTCCTGATCTGGTGGCTGCGCCCAGGTGGCCCCACCCACACCCCCCTAACAAGCAGCCTCGGGAGGCAGCAGCTTCCAGGAGCATAGACCCTGCAACTCACGGGGTGGTTGTGATTCACGGTTGCCTCTTGAAATACATTTATTGAAGCCAAAGCAATGAATCATTTCAGAAGCGAGCAGGCACTCGAAGGTATCCGGGAGCCCCTGTGTAAGGGCACCCCCACCTTGGTGTTAGAAGCCCCTGCCCTGAGAGGACGAGGACAGGCAGGAAAGCTCCCAGAGGCCAGGAGGGCCGGACCTGCTTCCTGCAGGATGCAAGGCAGTGGTATCCACTTTCCGGGCAGGCAGAGGTCACACGCCCCAGGGCCTCTCTGGCCTGGCGGTCTGCGATATCGGTTAATAACTGCATAAAGGGAGGTCCTTCTGAAGCAGGTGCCTCTTTCAGCAGCTGTCACCACCTAGTCTGAGAATGACCTTGGGCAAGCAGCCTGCCTTGTGCCTCTTCTGTCGTGAGACCGGCCTTGAACTCCTCTGACTGTAACTCGCGCACTGTGCACCGGGCTGAGTGGGCGACTTTAGAAACCACCCTGGAAAGCCAACAACCAGGATCAAGCCACCACTTCCTGTCCTCAGCATGTCCCTAATACTGTCTCTCCTCTTCAGGGCCCCCAGCAGGAGGTGACAGGTGGGACTCCTAGGTGCAGTGAGGCCCCTGGGTATGTTCGACGCCCCAGGAGAGACCCTACTAGCAGCTTACCCACTCTCTCTCCCTGCCGCATTGGCCAGCCACAGGTCAGATGCCAAGAGCAGGGGCTGACAGGACATCAGAGGGTGGCACCTTTTCCTCTGTTCCCTGGCTGCAGAGGCTCCTGAGCTTGGTGTTTACAGGCTCACTGAGCCACTGCAGGCACAGGAACAGGGTTCTGTGCTTTGGGTGTGATTAGGGTTTGCATAAGGGTGATTCTCATCTGTAAACATTTCTTCTTGCCTCGAGCACCGAATTCAGAAGCAAACATTCCTGCCATCTGGGGGATGCCTTTCCTGACAGAATCTCCCTCCAGGCCTGAGGTTTCAACCTACACCCCACACAGGGGCTGCAAAGCTCAGTGAGGTGTCCATGTGCAGATGACTGGGCCAGCCATAGAACGGCCCACTCCGGCCTGCTCCCCCACCAAAGCTGCTGGCTCTCCCTGGCTCTAAGGAAACTGGGCCTCTTCCCCCCAGTACCTCCTTTCTCACAGATTCCCTGAAGCCAGGAGAAATCTCCAGGGAGCTGCTGAGGCTGAGGAAATGTAAGTGACAGATCAATCTTGCTTTGTATTTCTCCTTCTCCCTCCTGAACTCGGCCGGATTAGCATCTGGCAGAAACTCCCAGGAATCAATCTCAGATTTCCGGGACCTGAAATAGAACCGGTGGTGGAGAGACCAGGCTGCACCCTCCTGGATGCACTCATGGATTTCCTCAACTCCTGCAATCCAGGAGGGGGCAAGAATGCATCGGGAGGCCTCAGAGGGCCTCCCTGCCACTGGACTGTGCCCTCCTGGGGACCTGCCCAGGAGCAGTGACAGATTCCGCTGTCTCTTGTCATTTCCTGGAGCAAGTATTGAATAGCTCCTGGGTTTAGACACTACAGGGCACACAGGTCAGAGAGAGGGATATAATGTGGCCCCAGCAGAGAGGGAGAGAGAGGGGACCAGGAAGAGGCTGGGAGAGGAAAGAGGGATGGTGGGAGGAGGAAAGGA